CGCAAATTCCTTTGCATCTCACGTTACACCAAAAATTTACTTATGAAAATGATTCGAGGGGACATTTCCCCTGACTATTATATCCAGGTTCACTGTGTACCACTAAAAGAAGCAGATCTAGAGGTCTACTTAGCTATGCTTAATAAAGGACACACAAATTCAAGATACCATTAAAAAGGTAATACCAAGCGGGGGCGATCTAATGAATTCGATGAAGATCGTTCTCCTATAAGTAGTATTTTTCGGAAAAAAAGAGAGAGACGTTTTTACAATTGCGCAACGTAAAGTTATTCAAGTTTGAAAAAACAAGCCACACTCAAAAGAAGCGTGAATCCTACTAGCCATATTCAATCAAATTGTCTTATGTTGTATACCTTGACTCGGGCAACCATCAACACACGTCCATTAAGTATAGTTGCACTTTCATAACGTAAAAATGAAGAGCCAATTCATTAAAACAGACTTGCGGTAGTAGTTTACATCCATCGGTAAGAGAAAAATGATTAGAGAAGCACTCTACAAAGGTTTTCAAATTACGTAGTCAGAATCCCAAAATGTATTAAAAGTAAACGCAATCATCATCACAGAACACTTGCGACAAAAAAGCGATAGACAGAATAAGGAGTTATTGCCCTTACTTACGGTTAGACAGTCAGTGAGTCGAAAAATTTATTGGTTATTGTCTTGCTCATACAGATGGTTCTTCCATCGCATCGGCCTTCCAAAACCTACAACTAGGATTATACCGCTAACTTTTTCACACATATTCAACCTTGTCAAATGCTGGAATTCAAAGTTTAAGAATGTTTTTTAGGTTCGCGACTTGAATAATAATAAAAGTGATAAAAAGCCTAAACACAGTTGGAATAATTGCGGTGTGATTGGGATAATGTAAAGCAAAAAAACTGCCGGCAAATATACGAAAATCTTACCTGAGGTGACAACGCATTCTATTGCATGCGTAAAATGAGAATTGAATAAAGTAGACAAGCCAGGATTCGACTGCAGACAGGATTCGACTGCAGATTCTCGGTGGATACGACAGCATAAGAATATATCGAGTTGGATAATGGATTGATAAGCTCAATTTGCTTACAGAATGAAAATTTTCTGGCGCTGAAGGTATTGCATAAAAAATGCAAATGGAATATGGAACAAAATGCAAACGAGAATTACTTCTACAAAGCGGGAAGACAAGCACTTGAGACTGCTAGAGCGCAAATGAAACGTATTAACAAAATATATTAACCAATGAAATTGCTTGTGTTACTGGGTTCAGAATCCCAAGATGAGATATATAAACGATAAAATGCACATCATACCTCTATTAAGTAACCATAGGAAATCACTAAATCGGGCCATTGTCATACTTCAGGCAATTATCGTCAAATCATCATAGATCTACCGTTGCACTAAAAATCTGACACATCGCGTGTGCGATACATATGAATATGTTACCCAAGTGGCTCCAGACAGACTTAAGGTAAAAAAAAAAAGCGGCCGAAGGTCTGTTTCACAGTAGGGGGCTTGGCGCATAAGTTCACACAGCTATAAATAACGTCGATGTAACGGCTGGTGAGAAACTGATTGAACGCAATACACTATTATAACATACTGACAAAACATGGTATCCGCTACGCAAAGAAACTCACACAAGTCTCGCGCAAACGCAGCTTTTCCCAAACTTTGCAACAATTCCTCCGGCCGACGTTTGCGTTATTCCAGGCACCCCAAGTCAAACGGACCTCGTCCGAGTAACCCGTTTTTCTTGTTTTTAAGTGATATGCGGCTACAGCCTTCTAAGCCGTTCTTCCACTGCCCCCTCCAGCGCCTATTTACCAAGCGTGTAGGAGATTGTTGGAGACAAATGACAGATCAAGAAAAATTGCCATGGTACCAAAGGGCTGAAGAATTGAGAAGAAAACAGAAGCACGAAAACTTTGAAGGATCTTATATCGAAAGCTTGTGTTCTAAAGACTCGGGCAGCGAATATATTACTACAAGCGGTAAAGCAGGGACCGAAAACAGTTCTCATTCTGGTGGTAGTCAGTTTCAATTCCATTACGAATTCATCAATTACTCGCCGAAACAGCAAAGCTTCAAAGGTGGTATCGTAAAGAATAAGAACAACAGGCAAAATGTCGCAGCAAAGTCAACGAATAGATCTGCCGGTGGTTCTCTCAACAGGCGAGGACATTTTGATATTCCCGTCGAGAAATTATCAGTTAATTCCGCTATTGATACTACAGCCACCGTTATGTTGGATACGGTTCCGGCTCCTGTGTTATTGGCACCATTCATCTCTAACCAGCTTATCATTTTTCCACATAGTCAGTATTTTCCATATGCACCACCTACGTTGATGCCAACTCTATCAACTGAATCACATTATCAAATTTATAATTCATTCTTTGATACCAACCAACCGATAACGGACATTTGCTATGAATTTATCCCTAATGAAATGTGAACATCTTTTAAGACATTTCAATATGTATATGGACATATAGAGGAGAACCAGTGATTGTATGGATGTTAATAGAAAGTTTACATATTTATTTAGTAAGGAAAATGAACAATGAATATCGACCTAATTCTTTTTCTCTAAGATTAAACTAATTCGAAAAAGTAATCGACAATATCCTGGCGGTGTTAACACACTTGAAGATTCTAAGCAAGAATGAATTTCTTATTAAACTATTTATGTCCTTTAGCATATTCTCAAATTTTACGTTTATTGATCAGATTCAGTTGGAAGAAGAAAAAAAACGGTATTATTATTGTTACACGATTACCATACAGGGATTGTAGTGACGGGATCTGGACCGGTACATGTAAATACAAGAACACAAATGCCCGATTATCTTTTTTTTTTCTTGGGCTTATGCATATCCCCTGATGTTGTTAATCTCATTTTAAATTAGTCCTTATTTTAGTTATTAGCTTAAAAACCCAAACAAAACCATCGCTTTAGGACTATTTGTATGATTAATATGTTTATTTCTGTTTCGACTTTTCGAGGGTATAATAAATTCAATTTCAAATATGCACAAGGTTTTGATCTCCCCCTCCGCCCTGCATAATATACACAAATCTATCATATTCTCAATAGGGGATGACATTTCCTTTCAATTGTTGGGATCAACATTTATGCTAGAAATCAAATACGGCAAGGCGGTCGATTTATGTATCAGTAATGACACAATGCCTGAACTTTAATTACACGAAACAATAAAGAAAACAGAGATTGTGTTGGAAAAAGTGCAGCGAAATGGAAGTGCGCATTTTTAGAGTCGTATTAATAAGGAAAATTTTTTTGCGATGAATTTCAGTGATACTATTAACACGTTCCAAATAAAGTATATCTGCTAAAAATAGATAACTTAACAAACAATAGTATTACATTGTACGATTATATACCATTAATGATTGCGAATGCAATATCATTTCTTATCAGGTGACATTTGTATATATATATTTGTTATTATCATTATTTCCGGCGTTTAATGCAGGAGTCAATATTATGAGATATTTAGAAAACCGTCCAATGCCAATATGTTCACACCATGTGACATGCGTTAATGGGTTTTGAGCAAAAATAACTCATCGCTTTAAAAGTATTTCCGAATTTGCATAGTTTTCTATCGAAATAGTTATTGGAAAATACATTTCCCGTGCAGGAATAAAAAATACTCTTCCCCTAATTTGTCAAATCTTGTACGCTTTCTCCTTATTTTATCTCGTAAACCATTCGAAATACACAAATCAATGCTGCGCGCAGTATTGATAATAAATGTTGTGCAGTTATCGACATACTTGCATTGAAAAAATATCCATTTATGCGAAACACAGTCGTCTTGTGACAGACATATCACACGATGTTTGAACGCGCCACCTGCACTACCACCACGTGAGCCATGTGCTGAGATTTGACAGTAACAATATAAGCGGAATGGAATTATAATGCAATTGCCACGTCTTCACCCGAATATAGTCCAAACCAATATCGCACGCATGATATCTCCGATGCATTGACTGCACTGCCTGGTCAGCTGGTTGGCGTAGATTTGTCTGCAATCCAATCAACTAATGACAGAGTTTAAAATATCGAGAATAAGAGAATAATACGAAATATTGTTCGTTGCATTGTATAAGCGACATGATTTTCGAATAATCAATGTGTCTTATTTTATATGCAATAGAACGTGTATGCCGAGTATGTTTGATATATTACGCATGAAAATATATATATAAGCAAATCAACCCATCTGCCCAAACTCTCGTCGAACAACGTGTCTTCTAATGTCTAATTCTAAGCTTGGTGATATCGAGTCAAACATTAGTGCACTCCTTGAAGTTGCCCAAACGTTGGCCCTAATGCCGTCAAAAAAGCCCTTGAATAAATATTTGCTGTTTCGCAATAGTGTGTTGTCCTTAGCGAAACAACATAGGTTGCCCGAATACAGTGCACCCGATTTAAAACGATTATGGCATAATTTGGCTCCGAATCTTAAGAACCTCTTCCAAATTATTGCTATAAGTACAGAGCACACTCCGACGATTGTCACTAAGGTGCGAGCGGCAACTAAAAAAAGGGCAAAGCGACAACACTTTCAACATGTGTTCGAAGTTCAAGAACCAGTTCAAGGAACGTTGAACATGACTAATAGCAGATATCCACGGTTTTCATTTGTACCGGAACCAAGTATTAGGAGACTTAAGCAAGATGCGTTGTTCGGCAAGTATACGAACAATAACGACTACTAATCGTCAGTGGCGGAGTAATATACTACACCTTGTGGTGTTGAACGACATTATTCTGCCCGATAGCTTTAATTAGTAGTCGTATTCGTCGTTTGTTCGTTATTATCGTCGTCATTCGTTCGTTCGTTTATTGTTCGTCGCTTATCGTTGTTGTTATAAGATATTAAAATAAGAAATTGATGTAAGATTAAATAAGGTTTAAGCTATTTATGTCTTAGTTCGTAATAATAAGAATTATTTATGTTTTAACTCCAATATTAACTGGAGACAAATGGTTTAAAATAAACACTATCCTGTTTATTCTCGGGATGTGCTTGTCTTTTCTAAGTCGTAATAACCTGATACTTGTTGTAAATGCGGTGCACGTTTTTGATATTTTCGGCGCGCAAAAAGACGTAAATCTCAACAATTTGAGGTTTATTTACCGAATGCTTGGATGTCAATCAAAGCCTCACTTTTCGAGCACTGAAATACCACCGCAAAAATTTAAGGATTAGGTGTAAATCTGAATGGGTAGAATAACGAATTGATAGGGAATGAATACATAATAAATGCATTGATATGGTAAATTTGATGACTTGGTTTAAGAGCGTAAATCTGTAACTGGTTATACTTAAATCGTTACAACCTCATAATACAATGTATTAGCAAGCATACATGATATTAATCAACGTTATTTTTAATATTTTCGTTTATGAAATATTTCCAAGTCTGCCATATAATTAGTGTAGCAAAATACTGGAATTTTATATCGCCGTTTCCGTGTGTTGAAATTTCAAATAAAAGCGAGTTTGGGAAAAGCTATAACTAACATTTAACCACAGCTATTACCATGATATCAAGCTCACTTTTGGTTAACATTAATACATGCTGTAGCTTGTGTAAAGATGGCTCTGGCGAGTTTCATAAGTAAAAAGACTAACTACAGTATGCATTGATATAATTTGTTATAAACTGTGTAACATTAACTGTTGACTGTCACTGAGCAATCAGTAGTTAAATAACATTACATCAGGTAATCGATTAACTCTTGCCAGATCACTGACCCTGACATAGAGACGTAAAATATGTCGGTACTTGACCAGAAAATCTTCTATCTTGCACTAGAATTAAATGCATTGCAATTTGTAAACTATATTTTTTGAAATTTTGAATAAGAGACTACAACGGAAACAGGAAACTACTTTTACATATGATAAAAACAACTAATAAGTTTACGATTAGAAAATATTTCAAGTAGTACTCTAGTTTCGCGAAGACGCACCCATGTCAGTTCGAAGAAATCGTGGGGAAGAAATTCGTTTTTATTCTTTAGAATACTGATTCCCGCTGTCAAAAGTTCTACGCTTAATCGCATGGAGCTAACATTACCATGTCGCGTCGCGATAAATGTTAAAACTTAATCCAAGAAGCATACAACAGTTTTGTATTGGCTGTGTTTCTTCTATTGTTACCAAGCACACAAAAAGAACTGTTTGGTATATGAATCAATCTCTGTTTATGAAGGCTATCGGCTTTTGTTGTAACGATTTTCCGACTATCAGTGAAACATACCGCATTCGATAGTCAACGCTATTTTAGGGAAACACTTATCGTGATCATGTGATTTATCGGGCGTAATAAAGAAATTTGGGCACAAAAATTCTGTTTTCCATTGTTTTAGTGATAATCTGATAACGTTAAGATAATCTGGTTCTCATAGCAAAAACATACACCAAACAACGTATTAATCCCACATCTACATGTGATGATTCTGTTTCATAATGCTCCCCATAACCCCATGTGAATAAACCGTCATGTGAAGGGAAATTAGTATAAATTCGCTGCCCGGACAATTAATTCTTCAGAAAAGAAAAACAAACTATCTGGACCATGTCTGCAACACGAGTTTGGGATACATCGCTCCAACAGTTTCATGGTGGACAGGATTGGAAGTTTTTGGATAATTTCGTTGAAGATTTTTCGGTCACTACGAATGCGTTAGGGACTCCTCAAGGAGCACTGATAGCTGCGAGAGAAGCTGTGGGTATTAATATATAATAAATAAAGACGAGCAAAAAAAGAAAAAGTCGCAATTACCTTATGTTTCGTTCATCTAATATGATTACGATGATGATAGTTGGGGACTTGCCATCATTATCCGCCTGCAGACCAAGAACCCGCCAAGTCGTCATTGGCCAAATTCCTTTGGCCTGTAGATCATCAATCTCAGGTTTCAAGACTGCTATTAGGAAATGGAGCGAGTGAACTGATTGACCTGGTGGTAAGATCTGCGCCGTCTGGCAGTTGGAAGCCAGGACCATGGGACGCTCAGGTGAGGAAAAAAAAAAAGAAGAATGATAACAACCTTTATTTTTTTCATTCATTCAGAGACATACGATGATTGGGGATAATCCATTTCAGTCTTCTTGTTTAGCAGTGCTGGCATCCTCCCACTTATCGTATCAATATACTTTTTTTTTTTTCATAGTACAAAGAATACCAACGATCAGCAGAAGTGAACAATCGCATCCTTCTCGCTTCAAACGATAAACAAAAAGCAAACCTCATCTGCATTGTTAACCCGTGTAATCCGACAGGTGATTACATGCCATTACCGGAAATTAAAAACTGGATCATAAACAACACAGAACGCGGCGGAGTAGTAATAGTTGACGAATCGATGCAACCGTGGCTATCATCCTCTTGGCGTGACGATTCATTGACATCTCAGCAAAAATTCGTGTCAGAGTTGTATGAAAATTCGAAAATATCACTATATGTAATACACTCGTGGACGAAATTGTGGTCATGTACTGGACTTCGCCTCGGCAGCGTTGTGTGTCCGACTATGGCTCACTGTAACCGATTGAAGAAAATTCAGGTGCCATGGAGTGTGAACACGGCTGCCTTGGCATTCCTCGATGCCGCAGTCACTGACACTGATTACATGAATAAAACTTGGGAACTGACTCCAATCTGGCGAAAGGAAATTTTATCTCGACTAACCGCCATTTCTGACGAGATTGTAAAAGTAAAAGGAGAACAGGCGAGATGGTCGTTTTATGGGAGGGAATTTTTATCGTGGATTTGGATAGATGTGAAGGATGCTGATTTTGCAGAGCAAGCAGTGGAAACGGCTAGAAATGCTGGAGTACCTGTGAGAAGTGGAAAGCCTGGATATAAGAGACCGACTTATGTGAGAGTCGCGGTGAGGGAACTTAGTAAGGTTGATGTGTTAATTGGGGCGTGGATGTCATTAGTAAAGAACTAGGAGCATGGAAAAATTACTATTTAAGATAAAAGCAAGAGTATACCGTCAAGCGGCTATTTATAACAAGTAATAAACGACTTAATACACGGCAACAATAGACAAGTGATGATACGTTGAAAACTGCCAACATCAAGTCTATGAAGGCTTCCGAGTGATTACGATATGATTGAATTGCCGTAGTTGCCTTTCCCTATCGGAAGGCTAAAGATTAATGTTATTTACCAGGAAATGATTCAGTAAACCACTGCATACACTAAAAAGACATCCACAATCTAAATGCAAGCTGTGGAGATGAAAAACACTTGTAACGAATGTAATCTTATTTCACAATGCAAATTGTACATAGGTGACTATGTTTTTGTATACTACAAGTAATAATGGAGAACATAAGGAGGAAGGAAGTGAGAACAATGAATGACAGAAAAAACTATACAGTAGATTACAGGGTTCCTCCTTTCCTTCCTCCGTCTATCTACCAACATAATATACATGAAAGCAAGAATGACTATAAGCTGATAAGTAAATCTATGGTATTGCACAATTTTCCCACCCTCTCTTTTCTAATGGTTGTCCAAACCTTGCTGCCTCATACAGCACCTCATCCGCAACTTATTCGCTAAATGTCCCTTCCTCGGCATCAACAAACTCGTCTAGACTTCCATCATCATTTTCACTCCCCACCAATCCCAAACCGTTCTTCTCGTAACCAATGTTTTCCTCAATAAATACATCGCTAAAATTAGAAAGGTCCGAGTCTGATGGTGTCGATAGTGTCAAGTATAAATTAGGCGATAAAAATTGATTGGGATGAAAATGAGGGGAGGAATTGGGTGAAGGGTCACGAGAAAGAGTTTGAGGAGTTTGGACAGAATTATCAGCGTATTCTGTTCCAGAATCAACATTAACAATGTTGATAGACACCTCGGGCTCATTAGCTTCCTTTCGCCTCACATACAAACTTTGAGTCCCATGCCTTCCCTCTTTATTAGTCTTAATCCTTACACAATGGTTTCTCGCTTCCTCGCTCAACCCTCTTTTCGAATCTTGCTTCTCTGATAATATTCCATCCATTTTCCTCACACTACTTCTCCTCATCCAATACTCGTTGTCCTCCATAACCGTGGCACATAAATCTTTCTCCAGTACCTCGTGATAACATAATAATTTCGACAATTCAAGAAACGTCGATATCAGACGTTTGGATATAACATTGGCGATGCTGAGAATCCGATCGCGTGTGGATCCTTTGTAGGGAACCATAATTGTGAGATTTTTAACGAGTCGAACGTCTCGAGTCAGTTGTGATGTGTGCGTCGTAATTTTTGCTTGTAGGGAAGCGATTTTGGACTGGAAAAACGGAAATGGGTTTAGAATGTTAGATGGAAACATGAAAGATGGAGAAAACAGACACTTTAAATATACAAACGAGTGAGGACAAAAACTCTTTCCGCGCTTACCTTTAAAACTTCTACTCTCGCAACGGCACCATCGGCGTACCCCTCATTCCGGAATACTTTTTCGCTCCTTTTACTTGAACTGGTATGCCTTACTCCTCGCATTTTAATCCCATTTGTTTTGAATGCTGCCGCATAATTGATCTTTGTGATCCAATCATTCATCTCACTCTCACTTTCAGCTTGAAACAGGTATTGATACCCTTTAACGCAAGCGAGTCGAAAGACATGTGGATGCTTCGTATAGGCAGTTTCGTATACGGCTATGGAGTCTGCAGTCATTAGAATTATATCAGGCCTAAGAGTTGTATTTTTCTTATTGTGCTGCGTATAAGGGAAAACGAGAACAGTTAGTGAAAAGTTTGGGGAAAAAGAATAGCATCATTTCTACGCCGACTCCTGACACAGAAACATACAACTTCCTACTCACATTCACATCCCTAACCGCGTTCGATTGCTCTTCAAACCAACTCAAATCTTTGAAAAACATCAGTTGGCTTCCCGATAATACAACGCCAAATTGCTTCCAGGTCCTTCCGAAACCGGTGGCTTTTTTCCCTCCTTCGAGTAGGTCGATTTTTCTACCAAGTTTACCTGCTTTCGTTATTTTTAGCTGAAACGCCCCAGGTTGGTTACTGACTGGATGTATAGCGGAAACGGAATTGGATGTGTCTCCGTATTGACGGCGTGATCGAATGCCGGTAACGCGGACCGTAGAAGCCGTAGTGAAGGCACGGTGGACGGAAGCCGTGTCGAATACGGGTAAGGTGCCTTTGTAGGAAAAGGGGTTTTCTGTTGGAACAATTGATCTGAGGTTTGGCGTAAAATCTGTCGGAATTTTCTTTTATCGTAAACAGAGAGTGTGTTACAATACTTGCGTACATTCTTACAGAAATCACGTCTACATTATGTTCCGTTAGTGGGGCTTACATGCTGAATAACAAAATATGGGTCGTTCCGAGGACGGTTGATAATTTTCCTATGACCATCCCCGATTCCGCCAAAAAATTTAGAATGCTGCGGTGATGGCATCAAAGTCATGCCGTTTACATCTGTATCATCCTCTGCATAAATAAACTGTGTAAACGTTATGTTATCGTATAGCACTTCGAGTATCTCTGATGGAACGCCATCTATTCTAGCATTGCGAACAAACTCTTCTTTTGTCATTTTCTTTTTTACACTCTTGTTGAAAGCATCGGTGTGAAGCATGAGTAACGAAAATGCCAGGATATATGAAGTATCTGTTTACGAGAATGAGTGCGTGAGCGTTCATCTCGGAAAAAACTGTTGCAGTGAAAGATTGAATCATACCTTGCGATGGGAATAGATCGGGGTTGCATTCATGATATCGACGAGCAAATGCTTCCATGATACGATCGATTTGTTGCGTCTCTTTGGGTAAATAGCAATCCATGAGAAATTTCCTATGACATGGTTACTGACTATTTAATCGCGGGTAATAATTATGAAAATAAATAATAAATGATGTAAAGTATTCGGTATACCTCAATGCGATATCGATTGGATCTTCGGTAAAGTCAAATGATTCCATGTACGTCAAGAGAACAGTCTCGTGGAAGACATCTTTACTGTAATTGTAGTAGTTGAATATTTAGTCATAGTAACGATTTTCTTTTGCGCCTTTTGTCTGCCGGAATATAGATAAAGCGATCATGATATCGCCTTTTTCTTTTCCCCACCTCACCTCACCCTCCCACTCCAACTACGTTTCCCGATCACTCACTTCTTTGCCAATAAGGTTGCCAACTCGGATTTACTCAGAGTATCCTGCATTCTTTCTAAATACTGTTGAGGAGTCTCTGCTTGGTTGCCAATGGTATGCCGTCGTTCGGGCCTGTTTGGTACTGGCATGTCAGGAATTATCGAGTTTAGGTCAGGTGCTGTCATGTTGGGCATTGAGCCTGTACGTTTGTAATGTCTTTTGGAAGGGATATTAAAGACGGACGACGTCGTGGAGGATGAGGAATCGGTGGGTGACGTGGATGGAGCAAGCTCGGAAGTAGTTATTTCGTTTTGCAATAAATCATAGTTAATAATAGGTAATGTCTGGTTATTTGTGATCTCTGCGTTAAGCTCTGCTGTCTCTGAATCTCTCTTCTCTGGGACTGGATTACTCACTATTTCATTTCCACCATTCTTTTCACTTGACTCTATGAATTTATTCTGTATAAATTGTAATTTATTGTTCACGTTATCCATTTCGTTTATTCTGTCTATAGCCATTCCTTCAAACAAATCAATATGTGGTATCTCCACATCGTTTAGTGATAGTTGTTTCCGGGGATTGGTTGCTATGGTAGTAGTTACTGTAGTCACTGTGGTGGTAGTGGTGGTGGTGACGACGGTTGTTTCGTCGTAGTGTTCAGTGTCGTGCTTACTGCCAAATATTAGATTGTGAAATGAGTTGCCCTGTTTTTTATGTTGAGAATTTGTGCTTAGTCGTTTAGCATTAAACATAGTTGAATAGGGGAAGGGAAAGTGGGCTGACGGGCTGTTTTAAATAGTGTCAACAGGCTTACACAAGTTCTATCCGCCGACAACTGTCTAATAAGGGCCAATGTTTCGAGCCCTTATTATTGTTTCAATATATTTGATGCCAGTGTTTATACTAACCTGAAACCGAATGGCTTTTTTTGTTTATTATTAAAGTTGATTTGGTGAAGCACAGACGGTATTTGACTTTTTGAAAAAATAAAAATATTTATACTAATAAAGGTAAAAGTTTAAAAAATGTCACGAGATTGGATGGAATTATAGTTATGCCGATGCTGCTATTTTGCTTGACGTTACATGCATTAATACCGTATTCGAATAACAAAACTAATAATATGCTCGGATTCAATGGCACTGTTACAAATTATCAACGAACATGAAGCTTGATTTATAATTTTTTACTACGACCATATAAGAGACAAAAAAACGAGGAAAAATTTGTTTGCTAGGATTATTGTTTAAATTAGATCGGCTACGTTCATAGGCATTTCATCAATTTGTGTATTGTAAAATTGTTCTGTTAAATCAAGAGGCAAAAGAACGTGTAAGTAGGACGTGCGATGGTTAACCTTAACTCAAAAAAACAACAAACTTATATATCCAATTACCTATATCACGCAACATTCGCACATCTTCGCTCGCAACAAAGTTAATGGCAACTCCTTTTCTACCAAACCGACCGCCTCTCCCAATACGATGAATATAGTTTTCACGATTGGTTGGCAAATCATAATTGATAACCTATTCCATGAAACGAGAGGAAATTTAGCTCCTTTATATGACCCAAAACCAATCTCTCACCCTATTCTCTTCTTATCCATACCAAAGAGACTTGCTGCACATCAATTCCTCTGGCTAACAAATCTGTGGTGATCAACACCCTCGATGACCCGCTTCTGAATTCCTTCATAATGACATCTCTTTGCGCCTGATCCATATCACCGTGCATGGCAGAAACGGTGAATTCCCGCTGGTGTAACTTTTCCGTAAGCCAATCGACTTTTCTTCGTGTATTGCAAAAGATTACAGCTTGAGTAATTGTAACAGTCTCATAGAGATCGCAGAGAGTATCCAGTTTCCATTCTTCCTTTTCGACTGCAATATAGAATTGCTTTACGGGAAAAGAAAAAAAAAGATTTAATATGATATTGAGTACAATACCGAGTAAATTTCGTAAAATTTAAAATACATAATCGATGTGATTATTATCATTCATCATTGGTTCACTGGCTGCTTACCTTGATACCCTCTAAAGTCAGCTCATCTCTCTTGACCAAAATTCTAACGGGTTCTCTCATAAACTTTGTTGTTACTTCAAGCACATCTGAAGGCATAGTAGCGCTCAACAGCACAACCTGTGTGCTAGGTGGCAACAGCTGAAACACATCATAAATCTGTTCTTTGAATCCTCTACTCAGCATCTCATCCGCCTCATCCAGCACAAACATCTTAATACTATCTGTCTTCAATGCTCCTCGGTTAATCATGTCGTATACCCGTCCGGGTGTACCAACGACAACATGTATTCCTTGTTCCAACTTTTTAATGCCTTCACGGACGTTCGTGCCGCCAATTGAAGCATGACATTCAACGTTCATAAAGTCACCGAGGGCGATGACGACTTTTTGAATTTGCTGAGCAAGTTCACGAGTCGGAGCTAAGATAAGTGCTTGGCATTTATTGACATCCATGTCGAGTTTTTGAAGAATAGAGATGGAAAAAGTAGCTGTTTTTCCGGTGCCTGATTGGGCTTGCGCGATTACATCGTGGCCCTTGATTACGGGAAGGATGGCGCGCTGTTGGATCGCTGATGGTTTTTCAAAACTAAGTTGGGGATTGGAATGAAAATAATAAAAAGCGATAAACACGTAAATACAAGGTTTGATGCTGAGAACATAGCTGCATATTTGAAAGTTCCATTTATTCTCTTCACTTACCCGTAGGCATAAATACCACGTAGTAATTCAGGCTTGAGGTTCATATTATCAAAGTTATCAACGACCTCCTCCCAATTAGACTAATTGACAGTGTGATGATCAGAGTTAAATTTCAAAAAAAAAAATGTACATTGTCCGTGCCGGAAACTTACCTCAATTTCTGCTTCTATATCATGAGGTTCGACTCTGTTTTCCGTAAAGATCAGTTATTTAGCATTTGAACGAACAAGAAAAAGTAAAACAAGAAGCACAGAAGCAAGAGGAAAAAAACAAGAGAGGAGAAAATCACAAAGAACGGGAGAGAAGCATAAAGTAAAAAGTGCATATATATACAGTAATGTAATTGTATGTTCGTCTATATGATGCTCGAACTCGTTTAACTTAATACTTCAATGGCTGTTCAATAGGGAAATGTTGAGGCAATCATAACATACCACAGACTGATAACCTCAATTAGTTTGATTTATCATTATCACATTAATTGTTCCACTATTACCCTCCTCTTGATAATTTAATAGATAGATCCAAACCACACAGCTCTACGCAGTCGGTTACCATCTCTCCATTCAATCCCACAGGATCCTGCATCGTCGCATAACGAAAAACAGTATGCAAAAAGCAGTTCTCAATGTTCATATCACAATATCTTGGCCGGTCGCGTCTCTCTGTTCTACTTCCGAGAACAACTCTATCTCGTTGATTCAGTACATCAACGTTTTCCTCTCTCAAGCAGCCACTGAAGCATGCTCTCTCTTGCGTGTGTCTTCTCCTATCTCCTTATTCGCTACATGTTTTAATACTCACGCCATGGTTACTGTTTTCTTTGTGCTCGTACGTTAAATTGTTAATACGAGGGTTTTGTTTTATAAATGTCAGTTTGTTAGGCGAAAAGTTTTTTTTTTTTCATTATATTGGGAATTTTTTTTTTACTTTGGACAGAAAAGAATGTGATTGGGTAGGAAAAATATGCGGCGCGCATGTTTGCCGACTCTTCGGATTTGAGGATAATGCAGGCTAAGGGATTGACGAGGGGGGAAATTCAGCTTTGACTGGAAAGTTAGACAATGCTGCGATTTGGAGAGAGAGAATTCAGGGAGAATCCGTACGTGGTAACATTCAAAACCCAATTTGTTCGGGTGTTGATTGTTTGTGTAGTCTGCACAATCTGCAGAATGTCGATTGTCGATTGTCGTATTTGGATGGTAATTTTTAGGTGGGATTTGCCTGGAGTGGTGGCGTGTCATTTGGGGGTAATATTTCAGGGGTCATGCAGAAAATAATACAAAGGCACCAACGTCACGAGATTAACAAACCCCGTGATCAGAAGACAATCACGCCTTCTAGAAATGTTCTTTATCGACAAATTAGTCTCATGTATGCGGTTGTCATCCTCTTAATTCCAAACTTGTTCAGTACTAAACACAACTAATATTAATACTATTGTTTACGTAAACTATCTAATTATATAATTATGCATATATCGTCGTCATTATATATTATAATTTAGACTCTCTCACTGCGTCTTTTTGTCCGTTGAGAACAATTAGCCAGGTTTGGTTTTGAGTTAACACTATTGAACGAATGTCACAATGTGCACGCATGTCAACAGAGTCAATATTATATTCGTTTTTCCGTGGCTCCGTAATAAATGGATCCAAAAACTCGTGTAATCAAAAAGTCTTGTACTTTACCAAAACGAACACTGACAACCTACGCCCAATAAATATAATACGTATTTATAAAAATTTGGTTATCATTATATTTGCCAATAAGAACATACCAATTAACTACTTTTGTGGAAAGCAGTTTCATAATATGAACAATATTATTTCCACAGGTTTAATTATGCGTTCGTGGATTATTCCACGGTTAACTTTGGATATGCCGGGCTAATTTTACTGCACCAAAAATCGCGTATTAATAAACTATCTACAACGGCCGAATCTTAACAAGTTTGCTTATAACGGCTCCGGTGCAAGTTACATCAAGTTATTATCGGGGGTGGATGTTCGGACACGAGTAAACCGAAATTGAAGCAACTACTGGACACAGTACATGATGCAATAGAAGGTACTATGAAACATCTCGTCCACGCAGTGAAAGCCACCACTATTCACTGATAGAGGCAGGCAAGCGGCATATAGAAGAATTGTGCGGTCAAATCGTCAACATTTTTGCAACTCAAATCCATAACAACTCTGTTAGCCATCTGGAACTGTTGCCAGTATAAAGAGTTTTGCATGAAGCAGGTAATCCTAGTCGAAGCTGACGGAAGAAAGTGATCTGATGATGAATCTCGGTTTAAAGTGATGGCAGAACTCGGGTTTAGAGACCTTTAAAGAAAAAATATGACGTTGACTGTATTGTTTCAACGGTTACGCATTGTGAAGAAGCAATGGTATGGTCAGAGTTGAAGAAAAATTAACGGCCAAAGGTATATAGCATATTGAATACACGTTTAATACAATTTATGCAAAGTCTTGAAGGGAAATTGTACAGTATTAATTTCAGCAAGACTGTTTATACAAGCAGGCATTCTTTCAGATATAAAATTGATGAAATAGCCTGGACAGAGTCCTGATCCCATTGAACGTTTATGGTATAAACGACACCAAAGCCTGAGAGAGAATTGGCTGCATGTCTTCAAGAAGAATGGGAAAAAATTACAGACGCTATGTTTCAAAGACTTAGAACTAAAGCAGGTCGATCTAAAGACTATGCGACTCAGGTTTTACATTACAATTGTGCATGGATGCTAGCCTGAACGTATAAATTGTTAAATTTTTACCGTAAATTTATTCTTCGACAGCCAAGTAAGATAACTGCGTGATATTTTTTGATTTTGAGATTTTCAAACAAATATTAATTTGCACGGTGCTGTAACATGACTTTTTCCATACATTTTAACGCTTGGGTTACGCAACATCAAATTAGCTCAATACAAGCTAAAGTTTCATGGCATTTGAACATTATGGAATTCTGCAAGGTAACCCACTGTATTTATTGTTATTGAAACAATAAAAAAAAAGTTTAATATGATACTGAATACAATACCGAGTAAATTTCGTAAAATTAAAGTACAAAATTGATGTAATTACTATCATTATCTAATTGGTGTTGTTGTTACCCCTTCTCGCTCTTGACCAAAATTCCAACAGGATCTCTCATAAACTTTGTACTTATTTCAAGCACGTCTGCAGGCATAGTAGCGTCCGACAGCACAACCTGCATGTTAGGTGGCAACAGCTAAAACATACCATAAATCTGTTTTTGGAATCCTCTACTCGGCATCTCATCTACCTCAACAGTCTTCGGAACATTATGTCGTATAGTTGTCCGGATGCACCAACGGCAACATGTACTCCATCTTCCAACGTTACAACGATGACGACTTTTTTGAATTTGCTGAGCAAGTTCACGAGTTGGAGGCTTGGCATTTATTGACACCCATGTCGAGTTTTTGAAGAATGGAGATGGAAAAAGTGGATATTCTTCCGGTATCTGATTGGGTTTGGACGATTACAGCGTGGCTCTTGATTATGGGAGCTGTTAAACTAAGTTGGGTTGGAATGAGAATAATAAAAATCGATAAACACATCAATACAAGGTTTGGCGCTGAGAACGTAGCTACATATTACGTTTGCGTTTGAAAGTTCCATTTTCTCTCTTCACTTACTGGGGATAACATTTGACTTACATAATGCGGCGTAGGCACTCTATCTCGTTGATTCAGTTTTCTTCTCTCAAGCAACCGCTGAAGCATGCTCTCTCTCTTGCGCGCGTCTTCTGCATATTTAATACTCACACCATTCCTTGTGCTCCTACGTATAAATTGTTGATACGAGGGCGTTGTTTTATAATGTCAGTTTGTTAGGCGAAAAGTTGGAGTTTTTTTTCATTGACTGGAACGCTAAACAATGCTGCGATTTGGAGAGAAAGAATCGTAACAGTAACATTCCAAAACCCAATTTCTTCGAGTGTTGAAGTGATTGTTTAGGTGGCATTACGTCACGACCCTGTGATCAGAATGATTGAATTACTGCACAGTAATAAAATATATAAAAACATTGCCCAACTGCTTGGTCGCATTTTAATTTAGATTCAGTCACCGCCTAGAAACGTTCTTTTATCCCCGACAAATTTGTATACGGTATAAAAATTGGGATACAAGTCATATATCGTAGTCGGTATATATCACTCCTGCCATGCATGCCCACATAGTTCGGCCTATGTATCTTTTGCAAAGTATGGATCATATGTAATATTAACAGTATTGCGATTTGAATAATAAAATTTTGAGAGTTGATTGAGAACAATTAGCCAGACCAGGTTTTAGCCCTATCGAACGAATGTCACAACGTGCACACTTGTCAATATTGTATACATACGTTATATTCTTTCTTCCACGACTCTGTAATAAATGAATCGAAGACTTGTTTAATCATGAAGTCTTGTGCTTTACTAAAACGAATACTGACAACTGCGCCCAATACATATTATACGGAGTAAATAAACCTTTATAAAAGTTTGTCACCATTATAGTTGTTAATAATAACATACCAATTAATATTAACTACTTTTGTCATAATATGAACACTGATACATAAATACGTGCAATCTCCTTTCCACATGTTTAATTGTGCAGATTAATTTTTATTGTAATAACCGCCATTTTTACAAATTAATTACAATTAGTTAGTATGCACGTGGTTTTACTTTTGTTTGTTACATTACCTATTGTTTTACCGTTCTTAACGTTGCAGTTTGACATTTGGGTAACGAGTCAATATGTGGATGATTTTTGTTGACAAACATCGATCCAAAGGCCTAATGTTTTATCTACCCGGAATCAACACTTTGTCAATTGTTGGGCTTGAAATAAGTATCAATCTACGTCGTTTATATGTTTCTTTAAGGAAATTGACCGATCTAACCATTTAGCTATCGTTGTCACTATGTTGATTGGACAAATTTTCCAAGATGTAAACTTTTAATAAAAATGTGTAACTATAAATCAACTGTGTGCCACCTGTTCATTGTACTTGGATATAGAAAGATCGAATTCTAACACCAAAAAATTCAAAAGCCATTGGTGTTGCGAACCGAGTCTAACAATTTTCGATGTTTTTATGTTTAAAATAAAAGTCTAATAATAACATGACGTTACACGGTTGGAAACTCTCAAATACAATCACTCCTTGTCCTCCTCCCCCTTACTCACCATCCTAACGATAATTTTTTTACAAATGCCAAGCGAAGATAATACTTCTCCGCCTCCATACGAAGCATCTCCACCAAATTTGCCGCACAGTCCAAGCGCTGCAGCGTCTACAACAACAGGCGTAAATTCACAGGGGCCAACTCAACCAATCGTATATTTTCTGACACCAGCAGCAGGTCAATTTATTCCAAGTGGAAATCCAAATGTATATGCGAGTACGAATACGAGCGGAAATAACGCTCCGAGACACGGTAGCGTTCAATATGTTCAGATACCCAACAGCAATCAACCCAGAATACCCAACGCAGTTTACGTCCGACCAGACGGCACGCTTTATCCGCCTACAAATGTAAATACAACGTCTCCGCCGACTGTGATTGTGAATGTTAATAATCATAACAATAATAATAATCAGAGAAACACTTTTAATTCACATGGGAAAGTATGGTGTCCTATTTGTCGCACTTATGTTTACACGATCATAGGTAGCGTACTTGCACCGGACGCTATAATGTGGTGCATAGTGCTGCTTCTCATCTTTCCGCCGTTTTTCTGGATTCCTCTTGTGTATAACCGTGTGAATGTCAACCTATGCTCTGTTTGTAGAACTCAAATCGCTCCACTGATAAGAGTTGGTGCTTTATAACTATTGAAAGATGTAAGTTGATGGGGTGCTCAACAGAAAAACTTTTATTTATATTTTTTCTCCCTTTTGTTTACTATTAAATAAGATATGGAAGTGGTGTGTTTGGCTCTTTTTTTTTTTCTTTCTGGGTTCGAGCACTTTTTTGCAGTGACAAAAAACTTTTACAATAGTCGAATTTGTTATATCAAAGTTAGTCTCAAGTTAGGCCAAAGTTCGCTATAATGGGAGTTGTTGAAAATAACAAAACTCAAGGATGCAGACTATATGAAAACACTTTAATGGTTTCCTCGACTATTGCTTTTTTAGCTTTATCTCTGAGATAGCGTTTAAACATAGCTGTTATTATAGTAATAATGTAATATACAGATATAGCAAAAATATTATATATAACATAATTTATGTTAAAACATGACAATTATTACTAATTCTCAGTCCCGATCGTCTTCAGAATGCTGTTCGCTATATAGATGTTCTAAAAAAAGAAATTTTTCTTATCCATATTATCGTTGATAAAGGGTAGGAACCTATTTCCTTGCGGAGAAAGACTTGATTGTTGTAACAGGGTCTGGTTCATTTCCCCGACAATTAATCCCAATAAATATTTCGGCACTAAAATAACTTTGGCAGAAATTGTCGGAAATAAATTGCCGGAAATAAATTGTCGGGGACATAAACGGATCCCATTGTAACAAATTATTAACATCTGTTGCTATTAATATTAATGTATTATTGTTATTAAATTTCGTATTTCTAATACGATCCTAGTTACCAAACAATCGATTTGAAAATTATCAATGTTCCGTCGTAAGATTTTGGTGATTAACAAGCGAGCTAATTCTTTAAATTAATACTTTGCATGTAAGAGTTTTTGCAGTTATCGTCAAACCAAGTCGTAAAGTCTTGACAATTAACAAACAAAACGTTTAATATAAAAAGAGACGATTAACTCTCCACATCTTCTCCTTCTCACATGCAACAGTAATACCTTAAATGTTGCTAATATCTCTCACTTAAAACTACAGTTATCTGGCTTTAAAATAATATAAATTTTATTGGTACTTGTTCGAGAAAATGCAGAGTTAGCGATTTAAAAATTTCAATATTTTATATGTTTGACTAGTAAAATCTTGTACCCTATTTATACTTTTGGTAGGGGGGGGGGGGGGGGTACAATAAAATGGTAAAACTCTTCCACAAAAAATTTCACTATTATTATAGGTTTTGTTCTATACTAATACGATAAGTTTTTTTCGTCCTGCTTAAACTGATTTGCACTTTCACCGGAATCTATTGATGTAATGTACGCGTCTACAATATAATCTTTTAGGGGAGGCATTCATTTCGCCGACAATCATTTCGCCGACAGATACATTTCACCGACAAAAACTACCAAAAAAGAATAATTTCAAAATAATGCTGGCGAAAATTTGTCGGTGAAATGATTGTCGGCGAAACGATTGTCGGTGAAATGAACCGGACCCTTTTCAAATTCGTTAATACTTACTATATATCTGTAACCCATATAATTTTAACAAACTTAATTTTGTACCTGCGCCGCCATATTTTCTTATGAGTATGATTTTCAGCACCATGGCAATCTTTAATTTGTTACCAAAAAAATGTGGGTAATCGCGTTGGTTCGGTGGTCCACTAACTTCACCAACGTTAAATTCAAGATCTGTCGACTTTACAGTCCATAGTACGTCAACATTATTTCCAATTTTGCGAAATTCTTTATCAGTTTTTCTAGATTACATTCTTCAGATGATGCAAATAGTTGCTTTTCACCACATACAGATATACATTGTAAACACAATTAAAAATAGATTAAGATTAAGCACACACTTATAAAGTATACTTACAAAAAATGTGCATCTCCCGATGCATTCCACGACGAATAGCAGGTGCCAAAAAAATTTTCGGTACGCTATCGTCCCTTTCAATTGATTTCGCACTGTGAAAAAGGACTTGGATATGAGACATAGGAAATACAAAACGAATAGAATAATTAAAACTAATATAACAGCAATACGTTATAAGAAAAACCCTTCTTACCCTATTCTATTTACTGTAAAGCCTGCATGTACGCGATTAATATTTCAAACGCAGTCCCTATCTGCGTGGTTGACATTGCAAAGTCCCATACGAATTTCAAAGCATCATTCTTTCGGGTTTCTAGATAGCTCTCGTCAACAATCTTGCAAAGGTCGTCCGCCTATATTATCAAATTAATCAGAAATATTAACAACCAATAGATTTGATTATATATATAATGAAACAAAGAATAAACTCTATATACTTTAATAGCTCTTTCACATTATTCGTAACAGGTGTACTTGCCTGACAACCGACTAAAAGTTCGCTAGCTTTCCAGATTTGAGAGAGATCCAAACTTCGGTTAATGATTGCACGGAGACTTTTAATAAACGCGTCCATAGCCTTGCTATGGTTAGTCGTTCAGGCTGAACTGAGTGGACCAATTTTTAACAGGAGTCTCATCAAAATAGCGATTCCACAAGTTCATGGTAAGTGTTAAAAAAAAAAAGTTACTGTACGCGTCGTCCAGCATTTATCTGATTAAGGGGTATGTTGATGTGCCAATCAAACCGGATCCCACGTGGTCGCGTTCGTATTCTTCAGATATATAATAGAGATCAGTATCGTGGCTTAGTCGGATTTACCTAAACATTTTTTACTGCGTATACCCGACCTGTAATTTCCAAAAATAGCATGTCCCCGCGATTCTTTTAAATGTTTCTACAGCATGTGACTGTTTATATTACTGTGTTATCAATATTATCACTCATTTTTTGCCAGACCTGTAATTTATAGTAAGCAAAGTTTCTAAATGTTTCTACTGTATGTGATTGTTATATTTACGCTGATATCATATTACTGCTATCGATACTATCGTTCATAGCTCAGTTTAATTAATCAGTGAAAAACTTTTTATCCTGAATATTACATTAATATTATTGTTTTATTTACGGAAACAATCGCGATATTATGCCATAATGTTACACTAGACAACACTCCTTGATTGCGTGCGAAAGCAATTGACGTCATCTGGTGTCGACTCAGATATAAATATACACACCACTCTCCCCCCTCGCCGAGACGTTATCCACAAGTTAAACAATAGAGAACGATCAATCCTCTCACACACGGCGTCACTAACAAGTCATCAAACAACGGACAATCTTCTATCACAACCCTATATTACGCGACAGACAACGAACATTAATGTTAACACTCTACAACGACGCGGTTTCGACCATATACTCAGACAATGATACATATATCGCTTCACAACAATCTCAAAGCGCAACTGAACGTTATAAATTTTTGCTGCCGCTCCATATTACGCGCATATGACAGTTCACACAACTCACAAACAAGTCAAGTCTTCTAATGACACAGTTTATTGATCACTAACTACTCATACATAAATGCCCGGACGCTTCTCTATCGCGCAGACATCGTTTCATGGCAATGTCTCCTCCAAAGCGTAAATACGACGAAAAATTCTTTATGGACGCTACTTTGGGTTGCGCACGTACGACGTTCGCTAAAACTTACGAGCGGTCTCTAACAACGACACGATTGGGAAGAGAAGCAATCGACGGCTGAGACGACTGCAGAAGTCGTGCTAATATTAGACTGCGTTGAGAAGGGTGGAAGTAGTAACGTTGATATATAGATTTGAATTTTGATTGTCATTAGTAATTACCTTTCTTATTCTTATAATTAGTGAACTTGATATTAATTTAATGGGGTAGAGGACTTAGAGTGTAGTCTAGAGCTGGGAGCCGAAGAGCCGAAGAGCATAGTTTGAGAACGACTCGACGCTAACTAAAGAGGGGGGGGAGACAGCGATCTGATATCAAATGATTTCTGAAGTACTGAGATAGAGTAGTTCGGGATGATGATCATTTCGCGGGGAGGGGAAGCGATCTGATATCAAGTGATTTCTGAAGTACTGAGATAGAGTAGTTCGGGATGATGATCGTTCGCAAGCTCTACCGAAATCTAAGTCCGAAACCTTATTTATTTTAGTAACAACTATGGAATTAGAAATTAGTAAATATGCATTCGTCGACTAATGGCTTGGTCTAAAACGAGTCTTCTAATTCTTGTTGTCAATAAAATTTAACTATCGTTAAATGAGATTTATCAAAATATGTTAATGTCGAATCGATGAGCGATTGACTTTATAGGCTACTCTCGAACGGAGTGTGGCTCTCCTGGTGTTCGTTAAATAAAGCAAACGATTAGTGACTTTAATGATAAGCTCTCCTTCAGTGTCGTTGCGTAGACATTTTCATCGTGTTATCCATTTCATATATAGTAGAACAACTGAAAAGAGTCAGCACAAGTTGCTTGAACCTTGTGCTTATTGATTATACGTGAATGCATTCGATGATGAACAGCACTCTCCACGATTGACCGGCTTTGTTTATGCCTTCATGTAGTTTATCGTCGAACAAATAATGAGTTTGGGCACACTCCACGATTTCTTCATTGTCTATTTCCCAATGTTCCTGCTAATTGCCACATTTGGCATAAAAATTTCCACTTCCCTAGTTGGATCGTGTAACCCTGATAACATGAAAAATCAATCATAAAAAAAAAGGAGCGCCCTATCCCCGATCCAGATAAAAACTCGTTAATTTACCCATTAAGCATTCTCCATATATAGGATGTCTAATATACGAATTCTCGTCGGTAAATGCTTGCTTCTCGCTCTATTAACTACAGTTTGAGCTTTTAACTTTGACCTTTATTTCATCTTTCTACCTCAAAAACAAAAGGCTGCAAACGTGTGATTGACTATGCAGTAAAGATCCGTGTAAATGCCGCTCGTACCGCGGTTGAGACCAATAATGTCAAACATTCTCTAAACCCATTTGATGAAATTGCCGTGGAAGAAGCAGTTCGTATCAAACAGCGTCTTCCGTCCCGTGTATCAGACATTCTCGCAATCTCGTGTGGATCCGCAAAATGTGCAGAAGTTCTAAGAACTGCAATGGCCATGGGAGCTGATAGAGCTATACATGTAGAGGCGGACGATAGCACGTTGCAGCCGTTGGCAGTAGCCAAGTTATTTAAGGCAATAATTGAAAAGGAAAACTCGAATTTGGTAATTCTTGGAAAGCAGGCTATTGATGACGATAGCAATCAGACGGGGCAGATGCTGGCAGGATTATTGAGCTGGCCACAGGTAAAGAGAAAAAGGATAGGAGCGAGAGAGAAGGGAGCATATTTAGACTGCGTATTGAGGGAGGTAGTGCTAGACAAAAGACGACGCAAGGGAAGGATGCCGTTTCTCTTGAGCGTGATGATGTGGAGTAACTGGATTATCCATTGCTAAAGTCATTATCTTTGAAAAGATTACTTTCGCATCAAACGTAAACATTGAGGATGATGCTCTAAAAGTTACCCGCGAAGTTGATGGAGGTTTGGAAACACTAAGCAGTAAACTTCCAGCCGTAATCACAGCCGATTTGCGGTAAGGATCATTCGTCATTACAATATCCTCACTACTTATGACTTTCTAATTTGCGAAAATTAATCTTTTCCCATTTATTGTTGTAAACTTTCCATTATCCCATTCACGCTCACTTTGAATTCAAACAAAAGACTTAATGAACCACGCTTCGCCACTCTTCCCAATATTATGAAAGCCAAAAAGAAATCTCTCGTCACATACACCCCTCAAGATCTCGGTGTAGATATAACTCCTCGTTTAGAGGTGCTTTCCGTGACTGAACCGCCACCTCGACAAGGAGGCGGTACAGTTGAAAGCGTTGATGAGTTGATTTCTAAACTTAAGGAAGTTGGAGCACTCTAATATAGACTTTAGATTAAATGAATAGATGTAGTGTGCAGACAAAAGAGAGGGGAAGGAAGGGGAAGTAAAGGAAAAAGGTGAGGAAGATAAAGAGCGAGACTGACAGTTGGGTAGAAGACAGCGGAAAGGAGGAGAAAATAGATTTGATCTTAGAAGTCAAGAGAATCTTCACCGTCATTCTGAGACTGAGTATTTTGGGCTGTGTTATTTAAAAAAAAAAAAGACGTTTTATGAAAATGTAGCGGCGAGAGAATGAATCAAGTGGTTAACAAAACCCCAGCTAATCTCGGACCTTCTTGTACATACCGTGTTCTGGACTATCGGTCCATCTGTACCCACACGTTGTGTCAGCGCAAACATAATATAAAGTCATCTTCGCGTCTGCCCTCCGTGAATGTGATTCAAAAAACACCGCCACATCGTGTCCACATTGTGGGCACAGTTTCTCTGTACGGGGCAGAGTTGGATCTGCTGCGAGATCGCTGATTATCTGCGTTTGCTCACTTTGTGAATCATATTTTTGAAAGGGGGTTAATAATACGTTAGCAACAGAGCAACAGAGCAGCAGATCAAGAGAAGTGTACCTGTCTGGAGGGTCAATGTCGTTCCTATAAACTAGAGAGTTTTCCGATCCCTCTTGGTACTCGCAATTACGACACGCATAGAGAAGCGTCTCTCGTTCTCGGTCTTGGCGAGGATATAGCATATTGTTACTGAGTGATCGTTTCCGAGAATTTTTTAGTTAAACGACCAAGGGTGAGACATTCTACCGGAGACTATTTAGCTTAGCGTACCAGTCGGCACAAAACTTGAAAGTAGCCATTTCTGTAGTTAACGTGTTGAAATCCCAATCTGCAAAAGGAATGAGTCGAAGCGAAAAAGAGCTCTGTGATGGTGACTTTTTCCAATGACCATAATAATTTATATTGGCAGCTTTTGTTGTTTGATTGGCTCCGAAAGTTGGCTGAGTTTAATAGAATGTACTGTATTTTGTGCTTGTGTAGCATCGGTGACAAGATTTCGATAATTAGTGGCACTTTGACCTTAACCAAACTTAAATACCTTTTGCACTTTCGTTACGTACCAACGGCATGCTTGTTGCTCAAGTTTACGTTTACATTACTTAGAGCCAAAAATAACTACCTTTCGTACAAACGCCTGATTAGGGTCAACTCTGTGTAGTTTTAAATAGTGAACAGCAAGTACTTCAAATTATCATATTGGCTCAAAGGTGACTTGTTTGCCTAAGAGGATTTTAAATCGACTTCGCCCTATTATCTTTCTCATTTACTAATGACCGGTACTTTGTACAGATTGTCTAATGGTTTGTAGAGTTAGCTGAATAAGAATAGACCTTGTTGTGTGAACAACTTTTTTCATTATTACTACATCATTTACTAGAAACAACAGTTTTGGAGAGATGAGGAAGAAGATTCCGTAAGTATGACATACATGTACGTAAAAGCGAGAGGGAAATGCGAAATCCGAGACATATTTATAGGGCCAAATCTTATAAGGATTAAAGATTTTGAAGTCGGAGAAGTTTAACGTTAAATTTTTTTGTAAAGATTTTAAAATTAACAGAATTTGCATTTGAGATATATCTTGGACTATAAATCGTAGATTAATTATTTAAACATTCTATTAATTTGAAAAAAAAAAAATTAAAAATTTTCACTTACTGTTGAGAATGTCGGTCGTCAAGGGAAAAAGACATGAGAGGTAGGGAGTGAGATTAAGTTGTACAAACGCGCTGTTATTAATAGTAGTAGCATATTGATTGTCGCGTACGCTTTGGACGAGACCTTTGACTATATTATTATAAGAATTAAATAATCATTTCCCAAATGAAATCGAAGGCAAGTTTCGATTTTATATACCGTTGATACGTAAGGCGTTTGCATTTTAACGTGATGCAAATTTATTCTAGTTGCAAAAATTGAATAATAAGGACAATTATAGAATAAACATTAAATGAGCTAAATAGAGACTGAACATGTCGTTTGCTAAAAATATGTCTTTCGATCATTTCACTGTACTAGTAAAATGTCAACAACTTTGATATAATAATTAATAGTCGCGAATATTAATATTAACATTATTTATAATTACAAGAGTCGTATTAGTATATACAAATAGATTAATATGTTTATATACAAGATTATTGTTACTCTATTTATTATTCCCTCCAATATAATTTAATTCTATCTCTTGTCCAGGATGAAAGTTCCGTTATCACTTCATTAATTGCAATGCATCGGTATATCCTAATAATCGGCAAGTATGGCTTTTCCCCCCGGTTTGTCAGAGCTAATGGAGTATCCCGTTGTGTGATTAATGGGGTAGCCGTTCTTATATTAATATTCCTTTGGTTTTTCCTTGCCTTGAGTTGAGCAGTCGTATATGCACCAGTATTTGATACACGTCTTCGTCAATTATTCGTTCGAGACGTAACTTCATACAATGAAAGAATGTTTTGAAATTCACTCTCATTGTATTCAGGTACATCATCAAATAAATTTTGTGTTGTGGGATTAGAATAGTTGGACTCAAAATGTGCAAATGCTGATGACAACTTCATGATCAAAGACTGAACCAAAATATTATGTGAATTATTTGCACGGGTGCTTGGATTGGCTACAGCATCTCCGGTGCATTCCGCAAGAAGCAGTGATAGACGATCTCGTTCCCGAAATATTTTGTTTAACAAACTTCACACCGTATACTTCAAGTGCCTCGTCAAATGCGAGATAGTGTCCTTCACTAGTAATATTCACTGAGCATACCATTTTTAACAAATTCTGAAGTTGTACATCGTCATGAACTTGTGCGGCTAGATTTGCCATTTGCATCGTGTAATCCACCATTATTATTCCAATCTTGTGTCCCACAAAATATCCAGTCCAGCGGAAGAAGAGATACCATACTTTCATTACTTGATTATTGCCTGTCAATATATCATGCATTTCCCTCCCCTGACTCTTAACACATTTGCATAGTGCTATCCCAACAGCACCCCATATTAATTCTATTACATGACTGGTTACTCGATAGTCCACA